CTCCAGATCATTAAATTCGGTCCAAAGAACTAACTGGGAGCAGCTGATACAGTCTGCTACAAATCAGTGCAGGCGCAGCTGTTTTCTAGCTTGCCAAACCCTCAAGTCGTGTTTCCTACCGCCAGCTTTTCAGTCCAGCCGTCCACTAAACGTCGACACTGTACCGTGCTATGTCTCTGGGCCCTGGGGCCCAGATAAATTACAAACAGTTGCTGGTCTTGAAGAACTTGTGGTGAGGTGTAGGAAGACGATACCGTAGATGTCATGTTAATGAACGGTGGCTAAAGAATACTCAGGGTGCTGTGGGAGTAGAAGAGAGGACGGGGCAGTTTCCTGGAAGAAATGGTGCCGCCAAGGAGGCCCTCCCACACACCAGGCGTTTCACGATGGGGAGGGACAGTCCAGGCAGAAAGAAGAGCATGTGCCTCAGTCAACCAGGCATGCCACAACAGGAAGGACACTGCCCAGGCGGGGAGGTGGCTAGGTACTACAGGTAATTAATTCTACATTTCTAAATCTCATGGAAACCCTAGAGGTCAGGGTAGAACTGCTTCCTGGGTTTCCTAGACTGTAACTCTTTACAGGAGCGGAAAGCCTTGTCCTTCTCCCTTGGAGCAGCTGGTGGTTTCAAACCGGTGTTCTTGCAGTTAGCAACCTAATGCGTAAGCACCAGGGTCGCTATGAGTCAGAATTGACTTGATGGCGGTGTTTGGTTGAGGCTTGCGGGGAAGACTAAATGGGAGTCTAAGAGGGATGAAAACCAGTCTGTCGAGAACCAAGTGTACCATCCTGACCTGGACGTAGGTGGTCAGGGGTCACTGAAGAGTCCAACTAGAGAAAAGACCCAGCCAACCTGGGTTTTAGATTCTTTGCTCTGACACCTTAAGGCTGAAGAGGGCACCTCACAAAGTGAGCCATACAAGGCAGGGGCCCCTTCACACAGCCCAAGACAACCACAGTCCTCAAAAGAACTATTTTGGGAATGCCACCCTGCAATCTTTGGAATCTTGGATCCCTTTGGAAACTCAAGTGCACCCTTAGGCCAATCAAAGTCGCCCCTCTGGTGACCCCTCCTCTGAATGCCCAACTGCTTTGGATGGCAGTTGGTTATGTAACGAGCTGGCCCAGACAGGCTGCACAGTGTGTATCCTGTCCCAACAAAAGTTGCTTTTTAATGTACTTATGCTCTGGAATGTTGTTAGTTGTCACGGAGTCATTGTGACTCGTGGCAACTGCACATGTGCACAGTCTAGCTGCTCCACGGGGCTTTCAAGGCGGCGAAGCCCATCATCAGGACTTTCTTCCTGAGCGCCTCTGGGTCAGTTCAACCACCAGCTTTTCCACGAGAAGTTAGGCTCTCAGCCATGTGCACCACCAGGACCCCAAGCTCTGAAATGGAGGCTAAGCACCTGAGAATCGATCAAACATGTCAATTTAGCTAGATTTGTATCTAAGTATCCTAACAAACATCTACTGAAAGTCCCATGGACTGCCCAAAGAACTAACAAAAGTCCGTTCTTGGAAGAAGTATGGCCAGAAGACTCCTTGAAGCAAGGATGGTGAGACTTTTGCCTCTTGTACTTTGGACATCTTGTCAGGAGAGGCCAGTCCCTGGAGAAGGGCATCCTGCTTGGTAAAGTAGAGGGGCAGGGATAAAGAGGAAGGTCCTCTAAGAGATAGATGGACACAGTGGCCAAAAAACAAGCTCAAACACGAGAGCCACTGTGAGGATGGCCCAGGGCTGGGCAGTGTTTTCTTCCGTTGTGCACAGGGCCAGCGTGCATCGGAACCGACGCGATGGCCCCTACAAACACCAAAGAAAAGACGTCCCACTTCCACAGACCTCACGTTCTCTCATTTAACCTATCAAAAGCCTTCGGCTCGGTAACTAACAGAGCACTGCAGTAAACCACACATTGGCAACCAGTATTGTCTAGGCCACATTTCTTACCAGCTTTACGGGTTTTCTTGGGATGCCTAAGGGGAACCCAGAGGCTGGAATCACAGTAGTGAGAGAAATTTAGGTCAGATTTTAGCTCATTTCCCCAATCCTCTACAACTCTTCTTCATCTAAGCCTGAGCAACTCATAGCAAAATGCTAATGTATGAAACAAATAGCAAATAATATTCTAAACCAAGTAGCATTCCTTCCTATCAGCTCAAGAGCTCTTCTGTTTTACCTAAATCATCTTTTCCCAGGGCCAACCTAGCAAAATCTCACTTCCTCCACTGCCCAAGTCGTTCCCTGTTCCCTTTCTTAATTCTTGTAAGCACCGTGATTCATTTTGTAATGGTGTGTCTCCATTGTCAGAGTCCTGGTAGTGTCATGGGCTCCTCCTTGGACTGCTAACCACAAGGTCAGAACTTTGAAACCACCAGCTGCTCTGCAGGAGAAAAAGGAGGCTATCTACTCCCATAAAGAGTTACAGTCTCAGAAACCCACCCGGGTAGTTCTACCGTCCCATCAGGTCACTATGGGCTGGAATTGACTTCAAAGCAGTGAGTTGGGGATTTCGTTTAGTTGTCTCGCTTATCAATTAGCTTACCATATGTACTTGTATATAAGCCAAGTTTTTCAGCATATTTTTAATGCAGGTTTTGTGGTAAAATTAGGTGCCTCGGCTGAAATTCAGGTCGGTTTATACTCGAGTATATACGGTCTATTCTTTAGGCTTACATCCTGTGAGGCTAAGAGTGATGTGTCTCAATGCACTCAGTAAATCTGTGTGGAACAAGAATGACTGACAACCACATGAATTTCTTCATTCATCAAGGTAACAGGAAGGCCTTCAAGAATCACTGGAAGGAAGCAGATTATAGGCATTTTCCTGATTCACTTTAAAGTCAAGTCTAAACAGGTATGAAACTTGCCCAAAGTTAAAGGAACCTCTGAACCAGCAATAAGCCTGAGAGTGAGCATCTTCATTTTACAAAAGGAAGTGTTTAATCACCAACCAACATTCCATCTAGCCAAGTTATCCTTACCCTCAACTTGACATTTTACTCTTCTGGCTAGAAGTATTTCGTATTTACGCTAAAGCAAGGAGGGAATGTTTCAGCCAGCCTAAAATGCCTGATAACGTACAAGACATTCATATGGGATATGTAAATAAATAATATGACTGACTGAGACCAATATTTACACATTCCAAATTCGGGTGGGGGGTCAGGAAGACATTCGAACTGTACTTCAATAGCTTTTTAAAATGCTCCCCAAGACATATTGACAGGACAGGTAACTTGCCTACACTCCATAGAATCCAGAGGTTGATGACGTACCATGTCTCTGAAAGCTGTCACATAATACTAAATGGATCGTATCACTGTTGCCCCAGCAGGAATGACCACAAGCACAAGGATTTCTACCTGAGCAAATCAGCAAATTGGAGAGCCCAGAGCAAAGAATGCCCATTGGATTGATAGGCTTTATCAGCCAAGTCAAGCAACGGGGCTGAAAAGGTTCCCAATTCAAAACATCTGCTGGAACACGCTTATTAGTTAAATTGAAAACAACAACAACAAAACACACCTATTTCCAATATTTATACATGTCCTTACAAATAAATTAATAAACATGTACTAAATGAGTATGTCACATATAGTACAAATACGAAATAGAAATATTTTAAAGATTAAAAAGACAGAAGTTGGTCTTCTAAAATAGTCATTCCACACGCAGGTGACCACTGGGCACACACACACCTTTGGGGATCGCTGCCTCACTCTGGAATCACTGCCTGAACACACTCAGGAGAGTACAAAACGAAGGGTGGGAGGCTCCTGAGTAACTTTCTTCCCTTTGCTAACTCAGCTGTGCCCTCAGTGTCCAGGACAAACCATTCAGATTTGTTTTCAACAGAGAAAAGACGGACGTGAAATGGACCAAAACATCTAGGAAGCTTTAGAGTGAACAGCGAAAGCCACCGCCAGGTGGAAATGATCCCGAAGCAGAATGGACTGTGTTCAGCTGAAATCTAAACCAAGTCCTTTATACTTAATGTGATGTGCAGGCTCGGCGGTTTAGCCCACAAGCTGCTTCCGGCCCCAGGAAGGGACTAGGTGGTCATTAAAACACCTGTATCTAAACGGCCACTTAGCAGCTCACCTGGGGAGTGCAATTTTTGAAAAGTCGTAAAGAATCCCAATTTTATGTATTTCACTATTTGCTAACTCCCTGAAGAAAGGGGTGGGCTAGTAAGATTTGCTGAACACTCACACGGATCCACACCCAGAACAACATCAAGTCACAGAGATGTTGAAATCATCAAGACGCCTCACATAATCCGCTTTGAAAGGGAGAAGACAAAGGGTCTTCGAAAAGTTCGTGGAAAAATTCCAGTGTCTTTTCATCCTACTTTTTCCACAACCATTTTGAAGCTCCCATGTATTCACATACGGCCAGGAGTCTGAGGATTGGCTGGTGATTTTGAACTGCCCAACTTTGGAATCACAGCCCAACTCGTAACCACTATGCCATGAGGACTCCTGCTATTTAACCGGAAGCAAGTTATTTAACTTCCCACATTTTCCATAGCCTCAACTACAAAATGAACATGCTAAAACTACCTTATCTGTCCACGTAGAAGAGTAAATGAGCAAAGGCTGTTGAGGTGCTCAGCAGGGCTTGGTCAAAGTTTAATGAATGTATATTTCAATATTATTCAGGGAAATGGGTGGGGAGGAGGAGAGACAGAAGGTGTGGCTATGGGCAGATATATTGCAAAGTGATCCTGAGGACATTTTAGCTCTCTTCTAATAGATCCCCTTTGTGAAAACAATACGTTTTTTAAACTCTAGATCCCTGTTCTAGGAAAGGAAAAAGAGAAAGCTGTTTTTCCCTCACCCTCTGAAAGGGGCTTGCCTTCTGGTGTTTCTGGACATCTAATTACTTGTCACAAACGTAGGACACCTTGGTTCAGTGTGATGACACCCCCACCCCCACCTTCCTACCCCTTGGGGGCAGCCTGAGACCAGCAGAGGGGACAGAACCCACACCTTACCTGAGCCCAATGGTTTCTAAATACAATCATGCATGTTTCCGGGTCAACTCCTCGCAGGCTCACAGCCTGCTGGAGTTTGCGTTCCTTGGCAATTGATGACATCATAAACGTTCATAAACGAACGCTTCTAAGTCATATTTAATTTTCAGGAAAATTAGGTCAGCAGTCTCTAACTTTCAAGTCTCACATTCAAAATGCAACTTCTTCACAATGTACTGCCATCTTCAGAAACCTGCAATGACAATCACAAAAACAAAAGTATCTCATTAGGTTAGTATATTAAGTAGGACACTGACTTAAATTTAAATCAAGCCACAGATTTTCAAAACCCAACACAGAACAAAATATCTATGAAATAGATCTCTATTCAATCACAAGGCTCTCCTATTTTCTCTCACTTTGTTACCAAAAATCATCAATGTTATTATTAGAGAATTTTTGGTTTCACCCCAGACTGTTATTCTAAATCACTCAAGGCTAGTTTCTACAAGAAAATACTAATATAAACTCAAAGTCTATACAAAAAATCAAATGATACAAAAGAGCTTCAGTAATCAAATAAATCATAATACCAATGTTTGTGAAAATTTAAAAACAGTAACAAGAAAGCCATTTAAGGGTGACATAAATAAGTGGCTGGCTGTAACTAGGCCCAATATCATTGATTTTTTTTTTTCAATCAATGACTGTCATAATATAATTGAAACTACAAAATATGTTAAGCTTTCTAGTAGTTCAGAAAAAATACTAGAACTACATACAGCTTTGTCAAATCAAGAGACAGAAACACTCTGTTAAATAAGAGTCGTGTGAGGTGTGAGTACAAGGCAACATGTTTACAAATGAAAATAGACTATGTGCACAGAACACAAAGAAAATCGAAGACTTCTTAAAACCACCACTCATGGTCATCAAGTTGATTTCAACCTTATGGGACAAACAGGACTACCCTTTTGGGATTCCAAGACCATACATCTTAGGGGGGGCAACCAGCTTCACCTTTGGTCTGAAGAGCAGCTGATAAGTTCAAACTAATGGCTTTGGGTCAGCAGCTCAGTGCGTAGCCCACTACGCCACTAAGGCTCCTTAATCACAGAGCCAACAAGTGGGGCGTGGGGTGGGTAAGATATTGAAATCTGTCATGGATTGAACTGTCTGTCTTCTCCCCAAATATATGTCAATTTGGTTGGACCACAGTTCTCAATCATTCAGCGGTTATATAATGATATGTTTTAGCAGTATAATGCTGCAATCATCTCCCGTGATCAGCCAATCAGTTGTAAGGGATGAAGGGATAATGCAACATTCTTATTCAAGTCTTCCTTAAGAGGAGGAGAGAGAAGCGTGTGTGAACAGAGTGCATCCTAAGACCCAGAGTCCCTTCCCTGAGACTCTCGTAGGCCCAGGAGAAGACGGATGTCAAGACATGGAGATCTCCAAGAAATATTAAGGCCGCCAATGTGGAAAAGAGACACAATCTTCTCTCTAAGAGCCAACAAAGAGAGAAAGCCGTCCCCGAGAGTTGGTGCCCGGGATTCAGACTTCTCGCTTGCTACTGTGAGAGAATAAATGCGTTTGCCAAAACCATTCACTTGTGATATTTCCATTACAGTAGCACTGGGGAACTCAGACAAGGCCATAACGAGTGTGTTGGACAGGATCACAGGGTACAGTGCTAACCAACAAAAGCAATAGGCCAATGGTATTATCTCATAGTTTGATCGTTCATAAGAGGTCTCAGCACAGTTTAGGAATTATTTTTTTTAGTGTAAATATTACCATATGTTCAGAGAAAAATAATTATGGCACAATTATCATTATCACTAAAGCATTAGCCATGACCCAGACCATCAAAAGGGTGAGCAGCTCTTTTAATTTGGATAAATCAGAAACAGCTCGAAGGCAAAGGCATATTGGAGGCAATGCTCTGTGAGAAGGGGAAAAGCCTCCATAAGTTAATTTATAAGTGTAATGCTTGAACCTCAGAACCAATTATTTGGGTTTCTATTATTTATTGTGGGAAAATGTATTTAGTTCTTGAACTTCTCAGTGTTCAAACAGGAATTTGAAACAAATTGAGTTCGGCAACCCAGGTATGTTGTTTGTGTTTTTTATAACTATATTTCATTATTTAAATTGATAAATTTCCCGACCTATAATTCTTCAGGAAAAAAAATTGTTTTCAATAGAGCTGTATCCACTGCCATTAAGAACCTTTTCCATGGAGAGACATGATTTATTAGCCATCTGCTGTTTTCAAATCAGGTGTGGCCACCCTACATTTATGGGGTACACATCTGCCAGGCACGATAGCCCACCCACACCCTGCATACAATCCCGATGGTCTAGTCACCCCACTATGTGACCAGTCTAGCCCGAACAGAATTTACGTCTTCAATGATAAACGAAACAAGGTTCTAAATCAACTTCCTCCTTATACTAAACACTAAATTTCTGTGAAAATGACATATTGGGGTGTTTGGATTCATCCCAGAAATTGAAAACTCGAGCTCCAGGACTTTAAGATTTTTCCTCAAAGAAGGGGAACGTACAGATACCAAACCAAAAACCAAACTCATTGCCATCAGGTTGACCCAACTCATTGAGACCCTACAGGACAGAGTAGAATGGCCCGATCTATGGAAGCAGACGGCCTCATCTTTATCCCTTGGGGCAGCTGGTAGGTTCAAAGCACGGTCCTTGCAGTTAGCAGCCAAACACTGAACCACTGCCACCAGGGTTCCTCTAAATCATGCACTCTCTACGATCCTTTTACATTAATTCTCAGAAAGCCATTCTGTACAATCGTTTCAGATACTGAGACTGCAGTACAGCCAGGATAAATGACTGGCCAATCTTTTTTTTTTTTTTTTTAATCATTGTATTGGGGGGCTCTTACAAAATCTTTTTTTTTTAAATCATTTTATTAGGGGCTCATACAACTCAGCACAATCCATACATACATCAATTGTGTCAAGCACATTTGTATATTCATTGCCCCTCAAAACATTTGCTCTCTACCTAAGCCCCTGGCATCAACTCCTCATTTTTTCTCCTCCCTCCCTGCTCCCCCTCCCTCATGAGCCCTTGATAATTTATAAATTATTATTTTGTCATATCTTGCCCTGTCCGACGTCTCCCTTCACCCACTTTTCT